GCATGGAAAGAAACTCTTGGCTTAATGTTGAATTGCTGGACGACGCTGTCATCTGACTGATAAATTCGGGGCGATTTTATATCATTACTGTCTTTAATAGGCCGACTTGTGAACATTATTTGTTTGAACTGAGCTTTTTATTTTGCGGACGAGGCATATAATACACAATGCCCTTCACATCCCACCAAATATACAATATCATCTTGTTCGGGTGGTTAGTGATAGTTCATTTCGGTCTTCGCCTGACATTTTTTTTTACCGCACATTATTGTAAACAATCCATTTTCATCGTCTCTGAGTGATGATGAAAGGAATCGTATTAGCTAACGTTTTATCAGAGAATAGCAGATAGTAATTTGGCCCATTAAATTTTCCCATTTAAGTCTGAGCCTATCCATATGTTTTCAGAAGCTTTCCAAAACTTATATGAGATATATAGAGAGTACCTCTACTATATCCCGTCTTTGTGACATCGATTATATTAAATAAGCTTTTCGATTTTGGCACTGTCAACACCTGATGGCTTTCCGGAACGCTCTAGGTATTCCACATCAAAATATCCATTTATAAACTAACCAAAAACTTACAGACATCTTTCTTAACTATGGCACTGTCTCTATAAACGGCACATACCTTTTTGAATGTTTGTACAGAGTATCTTTATATTCCGGAATTTAAAAAAAAAACAATTAAATAACAAAAATGCGTCATATTTACTACCATTTTACCTTTTAACGTAAAAACAGATTTAAAATTCACAATCCACACATGAATGGAAAGAAGCGTTGAAATGTTATTTTTTCAGAATGTGCATATGTTATGAATTTGGTTTATATGTGAAAGAAAATCACTTGTTCAACAAACACTACCATCTTTTCCCTAACCTAATATTAAACATAACGTATTTAATGTTGGGCAAGTTGCAGACAAAATATTACATTGAGTCTTAAGAGTAACTAGGTTAGAGGCTGACATTGCAAATATAAATCCTCCTTTTATCTACCAACCTAGTCCATATTATATTTTTTTTCAAACAGCTTTTTATACGTTTAATAACCTTTTTTTTCTCTTCCTAATAATTATAATAATGTCGGAAGACGGTATGCCTGCTGTGTTTAAAAATAAAACAAGCCAAATAAACGGATCTTATTAAGGGTAGTAACCGAATTAGTCTTAAACAGACTATTAGATTGTCAATTACTTGCATATAGATATCCAATTATAGAACGGTAAACTTCACAGGGGAAATTACAAGAATCAGTCATCTTTCTACTGGAATCATGATGCCATCAATAAAACCAGAATAATAAAAATGAAAAGGCTAACTCTTTCACGATGTATATGATTAACGACTAACTGAACGAACATGAAACAAAACAATGTAGAAAATATGTCTCGAACTTTTCGTGCTTACTTCCACTCCCGGTCTATGGCTGATAAAGTATCATGCAATTTTTCCAATTTGAAATCTTGAACTGTGACTACACAACCAATGCAATAAGCGTATGACGTCGATGATATAGTCCCTAGCATTAACAAAAAAAGATGCCTGGAACTTTTGCGCATACCTACGTTTATCTGTTTATTTGGAGACACGAGTCCTATAGACTCCCAAACCACTGTGATGTTCGTAACAAAAAGGTTGGGTTATGTCTTGAATTAAGACTTGCCGTCTCCTGGAATTATGCCAAAGAAGCTTCTACAGCATAATTTGCCTTATTACTTAATTATAGCTTCATACATTTTCGTATTTGCTTCAAAAGCGTACTCGGTTGAAATTCGAACTCTGCTAGGTTATTTCTCGTTTCGCCCCGCTAACCATAGCACTACGCATACATCCTTTATTTAAAAAACAAGTTGAATCTTTTTTATCAGAAAGATAGTAGATTAAAGGAATGAACAAAAACAATCTACAGACGACGGCTGTTTTTATTTTTTAATGTTTTGGCTTTATAGACGAGCTTTCGTAGAAAAAATGTTTAAGTGAGGTTTTCCCTAAAGGCTTACTTTTTGTCTCTGCTTTAACTAATGACCGCAAAATGTGATAAAAAGTAACTGAAATTAGGACGTCAGACATATCAGTCAATAATTAATGATGGTTTACGATGTTTCATCTCATAATAATTCAGTCTTACCAAAGGCGAATATACTGATTTTTCTTGAGAATTACTCTTTTGATGGTATTAATGTGTGATTTTGAGCGAATGAAACCTGAATGTTTTAGCGAAGACCACGCTTCTTGAAAACGTGTATACTGGCGCTATATAATCACAAATAAAAGAACTGTATGAAATAACTGTTGAAGTCAATATGTTGATGTGACCATTCGAATTTATATTTACGCAAAATACCACAAAATATGAAATAATAAGAAGGAACACAAAAACTATTTTTACAATAACAACCAATATTCATATTTATGTATGTCACTGATATGCAAACTTAGGGGTTACTTCCCTTTGACAGAAAGTTGAATGAACTTGCTGCTCTAAATTTTCACCGTGAGAGAGTTGAAAAAATTCTGGAAATCTGAGAATATGTTTGATACAAACATGTAGCTTCAGAAATTTTTTGAAGTAATATTTCGCGCTGGCGAATATTGACAAGAGTTATGTTCGTTACTGAAGAAAAACTTACTGGTTGGGTTGAGCCAATTTTTGGTACTTATTCACTTTCTGGGTGAACGTCTTGAGTGGGAGAATTTTCGTAATGTTTGTTCTCATACTTAATATGTTCCGTATTCTTGGATATTGTAGAATGTGTGTTTGAATGAATTCGTATATGTGAATGTTCCGTACGTACGTATATGTGAATATATGCGTGTGTGATGGCGTTACTACATCTTATATGTCAGAGAAGGAAAAAGAGGCCAAAAGAGAAAGAACGAATTTGTGTGAAACTATTTATAACCAAAGTCTTCACGTGAAAGGCTCGAAAGGTATAGACGGATTTTTGGCGGAATTGTATTTTCGTAGAGGGCTGAAACTAGGCCGATATAATTTGGACGTAGTTGAGAACATAATTTTAATATTAACTGACCAATGAAAAGTGAGAAAAACATCAAGGCTCCGTGATCGACTTTTTGTGTTTAATATGTACAAAAATTGACATTGAAGGTGGGAGCAAAATGCTAAATAACTGAAACTACATCACTTGACGACTTTTATCAACTACAACAATGGATAGAACATGTAACTCAAGAAGAAAATAACATAATCAAGTCGTTGACGTTCTACGCATCTTCTAACAAAAGCTTAAGAAGGAAGGTTAGTTGAGTTGCGAACTTATCTTATCGAAAAATATTTTATAAATTTAAACCGACAATAACGCCAGTTACTCGCTCAATAAAAGCCCAATTTTTCCTTATAAGGAAACGGCTATTGATAACATTATTTAAATAAAAATGTGTTATGGTCCGGTTCCTTGTACCACTGTGATAGTCCAAGGTAGAACCAATAAAGAAGAACTCGAATACGGATATGAAATAACACAGATATATTACAAACAGGAATATATACAGAGAGGTAGAAAGTGTTAGTACGAACAATCAGGTTTAGTAGTAATTGTCTGAACGCGACTCTGTTTCGGACTGCCTCTGACTCGACTGACTGACTCGCTCGCTCTGACTGACTGACGGACTTCTGACGGACCTCACTCTAGACCTCAGACTGAACTCCCTGCTTCCTCTTGAGGCGCAATATTTATTACGTATGGAATAGTCCATTATGTTATTATGGGTAAGGTCCCATAACAAAATGGAATACTCGTTACTTTATTTATTTATTCAGCATTTCCGTGTTTCTCTGACTGTAAAGAAAAGTCCTACTTATTATTTTGCTTGTTGTTTTAAGGAAATAGGACAATCAGGTCAAAACTTCGTCTTCTATGCATTGTTTACTTTCAGGACGTGGGTGATCATGAATCTCAACAACTTGCAATCTTTGGCATCTCTTAGCAAAATCTCTTTTTTATATCGCTTCCCACTAATTGTTCTACCATCTATTTAAAACAAGCACGTTGGGTAGGTTATCCGTTGGTCTCCTCTGTCCTTCCTGCCCTCGATATGTCCTGTGAGTATCGTATGTTCCAAGCTATCTTTCCTCGTTATTTGTGCCAGTAACTTCAACTCCCTATATATTCAAAGATTAGAAAATTTAAAACGTATTAAACCTGTTCTGGCATGGCTCTAGTAATATTTCACTGATATTTTTTTAGACTTTTTTTTCCATATAGTCGATGTATTCAAAGAAATACTTTGTCGTAGTTAATGCGCTTCTTCTTGGAATCAGAAAGGGACAGTTAAAATTTATGGGATACATAATGAAACAGAGAATATATCACGCACGAGACATATTTAAAGTCAGGTTGGTTGGTTGGTTTGTTTAACAGCATATCAACTCCTTGTGATTCATTTAATACGGAATTAAATTTTCTTGGCAGATTTGGAAAGTTTTTTGTTTTTTTTACTCTTAAAATCTATTTGTGGTATTTTTGCGATAAAAAATGTATTTTTACGCTTACACATGATTTTCATCCCAGTTTGGTGGGGTTTACTATTTGTCTACCACTCCTGGTCAGGGTAGACCTAAGAACAACAGCAGTTAAGAGGTCAGTCTACACTCCTCAGCCCCACCCTCGATTAGAAGTATCGCTGCCAGTTGTAGTTTATCATCATACCAAGGGCATTTAAGGACAAGAAAAATATAAATAATAAATACGATGTCAGAGTTTATGGTAAGTTGGTTGTTTTTGTTTAGTAGCATATCAACCCCCTACGTGTTATTTAATGCTGAAATGTAAATATTTTGTACGCAATTTCATTTTTGGTTCTAGATAATAATATCTTTATTATTGATACAAGTCTTACTAATTAAACCATAGATGGGGGAAAGATGGATGCATAACTTTCCCAAAGTAAGTGAATATAACAAATCCAACGGGAATTGGAAATCGACTCTACCATTAACAATTCCAAGCCATTATCCATTATACCACCCATACACCAGGCATTCCCAAGCAGTCACCCATTTAGGTACTGACCAGACTCGACGTTGCTTAACTTCGGTGATCTTACGGGAACCGATGTTTAAGATGTGGGCCTTTCAGAGTTTAGGTGGAGACGTCAGAAGTATAGATTTGAAGTAGACTTTGGAAGGAAACAGAAACCCTGTACTCAACAGGAAACAAGAGATAAATCTCTATTCCTGATCAAAAGACAGGTAAGGCGTGTGAATTGCCTATCGTCCGTTCACACTCCTCTCCGGTCTTTTGTAAAAAGTAGAGGTTTATCACTTGTTAGGTTTCCAGTTCCTTCTATAGTTTTTTTTTTTTTCAATCTCTTTCACTCCCAGCATTCCTTTGCGTCTTAGTGACATTGTCGCTTTTCTTGGGGTGAATTGATTTAATAAAAAAAGATGGCAAACAACAAAGAAACTACACAAAAATTATCTAAAGAGATAGTAAAGAAGGGACTGGGAGAGTTGATAACCGGACAATCGTTTCTTAGAACTACAAAGGTCACGTTCTAAAGAAAACCGGACCATAAAAAAGAAAAGTTTTATTACAGAGAGAGTGTCATTGTAAAGTCACGAACAATAACGATATGAAATTCGAGTCAGTGTTGAATCACGTACGGGGATGCAGTACGAAAGATTCTCTCAATTCTCTGTGACAACGCAAAGGAGATGCATTTAATTTATATGAATTTATCTTTAATAAATACAGTATATATTTTGCTATAATCATTTCATCCCAAGCAAAGCAATAAAAGCCATTAGAATGAAAGGTGAGAATGAAAGGAACAGATGAGAAAATAAAAGAACAGTACTCAAGGAGAAAAAATGATGACGCTCGCCATTGAAATTCAATTCTTGAAGGTCGTCAGAAGCCGGAATCGGATTCCACAAGTGATAACTGCAAGAGAAGAGACTATTAGCATAGAACTTACAACGAGTAATTCCAGAAGTGTGCTTCTTTTTGTGAAGTTGAAGTGCCAACAAGAAAAGCTCACCAGAATAAATGCTTTGAAATTATATACAGAAGAGGTAAAGTGAAGCTATTTTAGAGGAAGTGGCTGAAGCAGGGATGCCAGGTCAAGACTGATAACATTGGCGATTCTTCTTTGGATTTTGTCAAGAAATATAGCAGAAACACCAGACCGAATGTGGCAACAATATTCGAATTGTTTTGCTTGAATAATGTTATGCTTGATTGTACATCGCAATAGCAAATCATTTTATGTGTGATTTCCATCTGTTACTTTAGATCAGAAAATGTTCACTTGGTATGTAGACATACGTGATGGATGTTCACGTCCCTTTTCATTCATGAGGGTTTCCTGCAGTAGGTTGCCATTTATTTCTGCGGTAGACTGGTTTCCAACCAGGGCTAAACAATCCGGTATGTTTTGATATTTGACACATAGTTGCGGAGTGATATTTCCAAAGGTATTTGAGTGTATGTGAATGCAATGAACCCGACCGGAATTCGAACCCGGCTCTCTGATCACCCATTTCGAGTTGATATCCATTACACTACAGATTATATAAGAGAATTGGAAATAAGAAAAATTCACTGGATTATAACAGTTTGGAAATCTATTTTGGAATGTCAAAGGTAACGCCTATTTTCTTTCTTCATGCACTCATTTTTAATATTAAATAGCGTAACGCGATGATTCTATACTGAAATTACTTACATACTCAGAGCGAAACATAAGGTGCATAAAACATTTCGAATCAGAAAACCTTCCTGATAGACCCAATGAATCAGAATATATTGTTCCACCGACCAAATCTATCACAACTAAAAGTGAAAAGAATTTATCTAATTTATCTATCTCTAAATTGAATATAACATTTGTTACAACTACTTCAGATACAATAAAAAGCAAAACAAAATAATGAATCAAATCTTGAAGGAACACCTTTAAAAAATGTTACAAGGATTACATAGAAGAAATCTCAAGAAAGTTTAATAAAAGATTATATAAACACAAGCAGGAACTCTTACAAAACAACACACGAAATGTATTTACTTCAGCAAAATGAGACTGATGATAATTATCATGAGTCCTTACCTATAACTACAGAATGAACTCTTCCTAACACTATGTATACTACGCCTCTCAAGAGAGAGGGTCGAACCAAGCCGAGCTTCTCGACTTGACGGTCGAACTTTCTGCCTCTGAGCAGAAAGGAACCCGGACGAGGTTCCGCCGAAGGGCAGAATCTCGTTCGGGGTGAATGACCTACCCTGATCTCGTTTTTACGAGTCATACGGGCATATTTTTGGCTGAGCCTACGGGCTCAGGAAACCCACGATAAAAATGACCTTGTGTCGCATGCAACCCTCGTGGGGGGGTGGCTAGATATTGAACCAAGCCGAGCTTCTCGGCTTGACGGTCGAACTCGCTGCCTCTGAGCAGAGAGGAACTTGGACGAGGCTCCGCCGAAGGGCAGATCCTCGTTCGGAGAGGTTGACCAACCCGATCCCGTGTATATGGGTTCTACGGGCATTTTTGGCCGAGCCTACGGGCTCGGGAAACCCACGTTAAACTCGGCCTTGTGCCACCTGCAACCCTCGTGGTGGGGGTGGCTAGATACTGAATCGAGTCGAGCCGATAGTAGTTCACTCCAAACCAGACTGACAGTCATACTAACACCTTCCACATCTTGTATTATTATTTTGTTTAATATACCTTATTTCTACTCTTGTGTTCGTGTTGTTCTTCCTTTGTCTTAACCTGGACCATAACAATAATTTTGAATTAAAAAAATTTGCTCTAATTAGAAGAGACAGCAATTCACTCAGATGAAAATTGTGATATATGAATGAAAAGTGTCACTGCCGACACCGGAGTTGGAACGTGAATCTCTCGACAACAAAAATGTAGATCGCCATTTACTATAAATCGAGATATCATGTCACTGACTGGAGTTATTACAATTACCTGTTGTGCAATCACGTGTTGAACTCTCTGCCTTTAGACAGTGACGGACCTAGACGGATCTATGCCTACGGACAGAGTCTCGTATTGGGAGGTAGACCAACCCGACCCCGTGTATGCGAGGCCTACGGGGAATTTTACAGTATTGGGTTCACCCCACTTAAAAATAGGCCTTGCTCCACATCCTGCCTTGTAGTGAGGTTGGTAAATACAGGTCATGCTGTTTGACTATTGTGTAAACCCAGATGTTAAAGTTGAGTGTTACATGTTTCAAGACGAATTAGTATTAAACAGCTTTACGCGGTTGTTTATTAACTGACAAGTAATCAATACTATTTCCGTTGACCCTTTACTTATTTTGTTAATATATTTAATTTATGTTTCCTAATTAAATACTTTATTATTTTACATTGAAGTCTTTCTGTTGTTACTTGTATTACTTACGTGTAACGGATTACAAAATATCTTTAGAAAGAGCTTTAATTGCTAAATCAACGACAGTAAATTTGTGACCAGGTTCTTACAGCATTTCATCTTTCTTGACACAAATTCTTTTATCACAAACTGGGATATTTAATTACAAAAGGGATGAAAGCTTAAACAAAAAGAAACTAAATGAAATCGGCCATATCCAACACAAAAAAAATTCAAATTCCCAGCGCCCCCTTTTCGTCGTGAGCATGTGTAGTCGCATCAGCGTAAGCATCAGTTTAGTACGATGAAGTCCTAAAGGACAAAACGCGTTAAACGAAAACGTTTTTCCGCTTTGTCATACGGTTTTCCCTAAAATAACATAACGCATGATTTAGTATAAACTATTAAATTTTATTCTGTATAAATAAGGAATTTCTTATACAGTTTTATATTCCGTATCCTTTGGAACTAGCAAAACTTTGGGTGAAATGTTATGTATCAGGAGACGGCATGCTGAGATATTTGAATTAGAAAAATATCGACCATTCTTTTCATGTTTCTTCATGTCTGTCATTTCTTCAGCATCACCTGACAAAACTTATGAAGAATTTTCTTTTTAAAAGATTTTTAAATTTTCTTTTTTCTTTTACATTTTTAGAAATGAGAATTATTTTTCCTTTTTTCACATAATAGTTGGTAGTATTGTTTTCTTTTTTGAATATTTGTTTCTTTTTCATACATTTTGTCATTTTCTTTCATATTTGTTGGTTTCCTTTCGTCTTCCTGCTTTTATTCAAATACCTATTGTCTATTTTTCTTTATTTTTTTTCATATTTCTCTTCTTTTCTTTTTTTGTTTTTTGGTTCTCCAGTTTTTTTCCAACTTAATAGTCTGCCTTTTGTCGTCATCTCCATTGAATTTCCATCATTCTCTCTTTCCTTCAATAAGTTTATTTCAAGTTCTATGCTATTTACCGTTCAGGTTTCCGTTACTCTTTTTCATTTTCATACACTCTTCATTGTCTTTCAGTTTCGATAGACTGAAAATACGTCGTTGCTTATTTTCTGTCCACCTTCCTTTGCTTTTACAAGTTTTCATTCATTCTTTCTATTTGTTTTTGTCTTATTTTCATTCATTCTTTCTTTAATGCTATTCCAAATGACTTTATTATTTTGTATTTTTTTTCTTTTAACGCTTATATTTTCTTAGCCATTTCAAGATATTCTCTTTCTTTTATTCATCGTCTTTTCATTTATTTATTTTCTCAGTGGTTTTCTTTTTAGTGTTTTTTCTATTTTAGCCTTTCTTCCCCATCTTTTTTTTCTTTTTAACTTCCTCTTCTTCTTTGTTTTCCTTTCTTCCTAATCGTTTGGCTTTATAATTCCTTCATTCTTTTTTTCATTAATTTCTATTTTCGCTTTATTCATTTTTTTCCTTATTTGTATTCGCCATTATTCTTCTTCATTTTTATTTTTCTTCTCTTTTATATTTTTAATTATTCTTACTTTTCTTTATTCCATAATAAATTATTCTATTATTCATTCTTTTTTTTTCTTATTCTTGGCCGCTCTGTATTGATAATAATTTCCAGGTTTTCATTGTTTTTATTTTCTTTCTTCTTGTTTGTTCTTTTTATTAATTTTATAATGTTAACCCCCTTTCCTCCTTATGCCAGCAATGTATTTATTTCATATTATCTTTATTTTAATCCAATATTTTAATCCACTTCTTAA